TTTCACGCAGCTCACTTCTGAGATTAACATGCATAAACCAAACATTTGCTCAAACAACACTTTCTACACATCTAAAACCTACAAACAGCAAATTATTGAATTCTAGGTACTTAACCAAACATTTTCAAACCACAAGCCTATAAACATACCAATTGTTTATGGACATTTTTATAACGCGGATGCAGGTAGGCAGCGTCTCGTATATATCGATCTAGCCATATAATGTCGAAACCACAAGCCTACTGCAGCTCTATCTATATCGGTGGGAGGTAGATACTTTATACTTCCTGTGATCAAACGGTCCAACGCCAAGCATACGAGAGGACCACAATCCCCTCTGGGTCCTTTCGTTTGTTGTGGTGCGGTCTCGTCTCTGCTAACTGTAATATTGAGCTTCTTTGGCTTCTTGTTTCCAGAACGAGTCCAATAATTTATCGCATCCAAGTATTTAGCCAAATAAGAGCTCCATCCCTTAATAATATCTCTTAAATCAGCCAATGATATGTAATTTATCATGCTGTCATATACTATTACCTTAAGGGATGGGATCTGAAGCTCGACGAGAAGCCAATGGTTACGTTCCAAAACAGGGATAAACACCTGCAATCATAAGTAATAATTCATTCATTTGCGCACTTATTTATGAATACCTTTAAACTCAATCTAAAATAAACACTAACCTTATCGACCTCCCACCATGCAGGATAAAGTTTAGCTTGTCCATTGCCCAACGCAAATGATTCATCTCGTTGATTCTTCAAGTGAACTGCGTTAAAAGTCGTCGGCATTATTGTATACCGTGTATTTCTTTTATTTTCCTTAAGTTTCCTAATTATTAGTAGACGTGACACCCACGCATCGATATGTTGTTTTACAAAAAAATACATATATTAGTGAATTACATTAATTTTTAAACAAATTAATCAAATGAAAATATAAGAAAAATATAAGACTTACCCCTCCATCGAAATAGCCATTGTCTTCGACCCCTAATAATACGCCCCACCAAGACCGATCAAGCAACAATAGATATCATCATTGAGCTTGCATATGTCAGTGAAACACCCTGGCTTCGCTCATGTAGATAAAAATCAACTGCGGTCTTAGCCCAAAGGGTGTTATCCAGAATTGTGTCCGGTAGTTGTTTCCTCTCCTCTTCAGATACCGGTATGGTACTGGCCGGTAACTCATACGAGAGCCAACTTGAATCCATCATGTCCGGTACGTCAGAGGGTTTCTCAAGAATCCTATATATGACGCCATGTGAATCGGGCTCTTGAATGGTGGGAGGGACCTCTTCAACGATGACAGTGGCCTCTTGAACGGTGGGAGGGGACTCTCGAGGAATGATAGGGGCCTCTTCAACGATAGGAGTGGACTCTTGAGGGATGATAGGCGAGTCAGGATTCTTCTTGCGGTGTCTTCGCACTATTGGGGTATACGGAGACTTAATAGCACGTGCACGCCGTCTGATGCGTGAACTCTGTCGTGCAAGAAAAACCCGACGTAAAGCATCCACCTTATCGGTCCGCTAAATAAAAATACAAATATCAGTAAATAAACAGACATGATATTTAAACAGTGAAACAAAGATAAATATATTTCAAACTTTCAACCAAAAGACAAAACAAAGACAAATACTAACTTCACAGTGTTAAAGTAAAAAGTTTAGCAGTTTTGGCAGCAACCGAATAAATTTACTAAGCAATCTAAGTGAAATGGTTAATTTAAGTGAAATTACGAGTAAATTTATCATCAAGTTAAATATGGAAAATCTTAAACTTACCTCGTTGCGTAGAGTATGAACCTCATTCTGCAACGATACTACCATCTCACGTAGAGCGGCAACCTAACCACGTAAAGTAGACACCTCCACACGCCATGCACCATCGTTATCGCGTAGAGTACCGATCTCCTCACGCAAGGCATTGACCTCATCACGTAACTCCCTTGACTCATCCCGTGGAGGTGGAGAACAGGGAGATAGAAGTCGTGGCATCTTTGTCGGTCGCCTATCATGAGGTGATGGTGGAGAAGAGACTCGATGATGTGACGGGATAGGTGATGGCTCTCGTTGTAGAGGTGTATAGTCGGGTCGATCAGGTGATGCTCTGGGTGAGGTGATGGCTCTCGAAGTGGAGGAAGTGGAGGCTGCTCATCATTCGTGCCATCAAAAAAAACGCTGACTAGCTTGCCACCAATCAGTGGCAAGCTCAGCCTCCGTGGGTGTCAGTCTCATTAATGGAGTGTTGGCCTCCTAAAAATATAAAAACTAAACAAAGTTAAACGTCTACTATTAATAACTTGTTTATATGATAGTATTTGTGTTAACTTACATTATTTATTGTCGCATATGGTATTAAGTCTTCCCAATCCAACATACGTTTCCTCTTCCAGGAAATAGCCCTAGGAATATCATCTGAGGATTTTAATGCATATGTCCGCATGTTGGGGAAAGCATCGAATATCCAAATCTACAAACAATATAATAACAAACATTAGTAATTGTTAAATAATTAATTATAATTTTGAAAACATTATATAGAAATTCTTACCTTAAAGGCCCAAACAAAGCCTGACAAAGTGTATTTCGACCCATCGCCCCGCAAACTTTTGCGGTCATCAAAGGCAGACGACAACTTAGTCCAGGTAGCTTTCCATATATACGAATCCCACGGAAACAGATTCCATGCATTTAGGTCCTCTACCAATAATATTAGCTCCTGAGGAATAGGTTGTCTGGCCTCTCTGCCTAGAAAGCCGGCATACAAAAGTAGTAGAAGGCATACTCGGACAACATCGACGTCATTCATCCGAGTAAAACCATCTTTCTTATTAAACAATTTCTTCATGTCGTCGACGTGTAAGTTCGACTTCTCTATTGACTCATCAGGAAAAACCCTGGATAACCATGATGGGCGGGTGATATGACGAGTGTACCGGCCTACATCATCGTGTCCGAATCGTAGACCAGTGATTAAGCAGAACTCCTTCCGCCCAAAACAAGTATACGCCGGTGGAAAATAAAACCATATCTCTTCCTCACCACGTTGTATACTGTCGGGTAGATCGCTAGTCATGGTCTGAAGCCACAAATGGGTCAAACTAGCATCTCCACCCGGATGCTGTACTCTCAGCCATGGCCCGAAGCAGGTTTCTTCAAACAATTTTCTTTGTGCAGGTGAAAGCTTCGAAGCAATTGTAGTGGCTAGACTAACTTTATTCCTTAATGTCAATGAAGCCGAAAAAAATTTCTACAAAAAAACAATAAACATACCAAGTTAGATATACCAAAAATTACACTGTCAAGATATACCAAAAACAAAACAATAAACATAAATAGTAGTTTATTCTTGAAACTAAAATTTGCAACACTATTTTTGTCTTTTGGTTGAAATGAAAATCGCAACGAGATAATGAGAATCGCAACGCGGAAATGACTATCGCAACGAGAGAATCGCAATGCGAAATGACTATCGCGACCAGACAATCGCAACGCGAAATGAAAATCGCAACCGCGAAAAAAAATCGCAACGCGAAATGAAAATCGCAACGCGAAATGAAAATCGCAATGCGATTTTGGTTTCGCGTTGCGATTTTTATTTCGCGTCGCGATTATCTCGTTGCGATAGTTATTTCCGCGTTGCGATTTTCATTCTCGAAACTATTCTTCTTCTGCATTACTTCAACCAAAAGACAAAACAAAGACAAATACTAACTTCACAGGCTAAACAGTTTAGCAGTATTGGCAGCAATCGAATGAATTTAATAAGAAATCTAAGTGAAATGGTTAATCTATTATTGAAATTACCAGTAAACTTATCATCAATCTCAATATGAAAAACCTAAAATAATGCAAAAATTTCAAAAAAAAAAAAAAAAAACTAACCATCGGAGGTTGATTTTCCATTTCTGAATGATTGTGAGGGATTTTTGACTGTGAATGGTTGTGAGGGATTTTGCCGGCGATGGGGACGGAAATCTTCGGAGATGGGTACGGATTTCGCCGTAGAGAGTGAGAGATGGAGATGGGACTGAGTGTTGTGTTTTTGGGTTTGAGGGTTATGAGTTGCGATTACTGTGGATGGTTCATTTTCCGATTTATTAAGAAAAAAATACGTGTTTGGAATTTGAAAAAAAAATACGCGTTAATACGAATGGCGCTATGTAAATCGCGTTGCGAAAGTCAGTATCGCGTTGCGAAAGTAAGTATCTCGTTGCGATTTTTTATTATCGCATTGCGATAGTAAGTATCGCATTGCGATTTTCCCAATTCGCGTTGCGATTTACTTATTCGCATTGCGATTTTCCCAATTCGCGTTGCGATTTACTTATTGGCATTGCGAATTGGGAAAATCGCAACGACACTGTAGACCATCGTAACGCGATTTTCAACTATCGCATTGCGAAAATGCAACGCGAATTTGCGATAATGGAGATCGCGTTGCGAATTAGCGATCGCATTGCGATTTTGTTGGTCATTTTGGTAAATCCTGAAAAAGTTGGTTAAAATCGTATATTATATGGGATTTTTGGTCACTGAGGTTATTTTCTCTTTATAAAATGATGCAATTAAACAAATTAATCCGAAGATACGAAAAGGACAAAAATTAAAGCTTATTCCCCATAATTTTTGTTCTCTTTGTATACTGATTTTTTTAATTTCACCCACTAAATTTTAATCTCATTCTTAATTGAAACATTATTTAAATTGACAGATTTAATCAAATTAATTAATTTTTAATGATATAAAAAACAAATATTATACTTCTCGAAATAACATCATAAAATTAAAAAATAGATTTAAAAATTTTAAAGATGATAACACACATTAACCGACTTTACGCCCAACATACGCCATCGTGGGAGCGTTTAAGAAGCGGCAGCACCTAACGAATTAGTGCGCTCACTCTGCTTCGACCATGTCGTCTCTATCAGTATGCTTAGAGACATGTTGTGCAAAAAGATGCTGATATTGTATTAACCCTATTTCCATTACATTTCATTAACACTTTTCACTTTCAAAACTTATTGATTCCCTTGAATCCAACTAAATGGACCAAAATCTGGCTGGAAACTAGAAAATTATTGTTTTCCATATAAATACCTAACCCGTCATCCTCTATTCTTCCACCCCATTTCCTAAAGTCAGTCAATATAACCACTCTTGAGGGAATCGGACCTCATTGCTGATAACTTGTTGTGGCCTAAAGTCGCGTTGCTTCTTACTCCCACCAATTCCCAAACTCAAAGCAACATCTACAATTAGAAATCAGTCAACAACCCATATCTAGAAAGTAATTTAAAATCAAAATTAGATCGACCAAAGAATTGTTTACCACTATCCGCAGTGAAACTTGTGTTAAACCCAGAATGAAGATTTGGTGGAGCACCAATCTCCTCAAGGTTCAAATTCAGGGCCTGAAACACTCTAGCTGGAAGCAAAACAGCAGGACAAGTTGTCAAAATATAAGTGATCAGATCTGGAAAAATTCAAGGGCATTTAAAATGAACAAAAAGGAAATGGGTATGTACTTGTCTTCTTGCGGGATTCAGCAGGGGTACTACCAATACTGCGGCTACGGGGCAAGAAAACACCCGTTCCAGAACATTGCCTTTTACCTATTGGATTGCCCAAGAAAACAGCCCGCATACTCGACCCCTTCTGAGGATGTGGTTGCTGCTGCAGACGAGCTGGAGACAAACCCAAAGTCCAATCATCTTTACCATTCCTCCCTTTGTTTTGGAAATGGTGCTGCTTATGTCCTCCCGAAGCCGACAAGTTTTGTTGTTTCATCAGCTGTTGTTGCTTCAGTTGCTGAAGCTGCAATACAAAAAGAAAACAACTAGATTAATACCATGACGGACGGGGGGGAACCCTACAAAGGCACTTTTAAGCTCGTTTTGATGTATATTTTACTTTAGCAGCCTGCAACTTGTGGTGAGAGTGTGCCTGGTGAGGATAGTAAAAGCCAGAGAAATCAATATTTTGACAAGGTTTTCTTGCTGGTGAACCCAAGAGGCCTCTATTGTTGAAACCACCGTAAGATTCTTTATGCAATCGCATCCTTTGGATTTCCCCAGCCGTCGCATGCAGCAGATTCCACGTTCCCGGCGTTGATGAAAAGCGAGATTGACAGTTAAAGCTTCCACGGATAGACCCTTGCTCGCATCCGCAACCGTTCCTTAATGTACAAAGGGTCGATTGAGGCGAACTGGAATAGACCCAAGCCTAGAAATCAAACACAAAATGAAATTAGAACAACGAATAATCGGTTATTAATAAAAATTTAGAGAACTGGTGCCGAGTTGTTTAACCAACGTTGGAGTTATGAGAGACAAACGCATGGTCATTTAGGAGAGTAGAGTGAGCCATTTGACGAGTTAACCCAGCAAGGGAATCGTCTTCGCCAGTCTCTGTTTCAGTAGAACACAGCAGAGAGTCAACCGGAGAAAGATCCAAAGAAAACCCAAAGGTGGAATGAAAATCATAGGGAAACAAAGGCTTGGAGCCACCAAGCTCATCTTTCTTGTCCACGAGAAAGTCATCGTCGGTTAGAAAATGAGGCGGAAGGCAAAACTCAGCGTCGTCTAAAACCTTCGCCATGAGAAAGAAAGCTGAAGAGCAAAGAGGGAAATGAGAAAAAAGATGGGCGATTGCTTACTAAGATTTAAAGCAGCTGGGTCTGGCGGAGCACGTAGTAGTACTAGTAACTGTCAACAAGATTTGTATTTGTAGAGTGAGAAAAAGCGGTTGCGAGTGCTCCAGTATCGTATAGGTGAAGCCATGGTGTGGGGTCAATTTGTAGACAGCAAACGTCCTTGGCCACGACGATGATTCAGGCACAAACATACCAGACATTTGTCGTATCTAGGCTATGCGGTTATCCACCTGGCAATCCAGGAGGAAAAGGGACTCCATGCACATTACTCGTTTGAATTTGTTTAAATATTTCATAACGTGACGGCCCATTAAACTCTATGTTATAAATAGATCCCAATTTGGGTGACATATCCATTTTCAGGTAAAACCTGTTGCGGTATCAGCCTTGGACATCGTTAGAACCGGCAGGTTTATGGTGTCACCGTCGCTAAAAACAAAGCTTATCGCTTCTCCTGTTTAAAACCCATAGTTTTCATTGCTCTAGTTCTTGGTCTAATTGGCAAGTTCTTAAGTGTCATGTTTATTATCAAAGTAATCTCAAGTGTAATTTATTCACACACAAAAAAATAATTCTAAAATGGTTTTATATGATTATTAATAATCAATGACTAATCACCAAATGGTGAAATAAAATAATAGATAAGAAAAAGAAAGTTGGATAACGCACCCAAAGGGTTTTGTCCAGGTATGGAGAGAGGGCATTATCGAGGAACATGCCACCTTGATTACCGGGGAGGAATAAGTGGTGTCTGAAGCATGTCGTTTCCTTTTTATGGTGTATCCGACCATTAGGCATTTGCATCTACCACTTTCACTAACCAAAGCACACACAAATATCAAGTACTGGGCCGAACCTGCTGATTCAAGTAGAAAACATAAGCTGAAGCAGCTTAGAAGTTGGCTAATTCCCTGTAATGGTGGGGTACATCCCAAATGATGCAAAATGATCAAAACTTGGTACAATCATTAGAAATGGCAATCAGTATCAATGATTAATTTGCCGTGGGTCTCTCAATTTTTCTAGTGCTGATGATAATGACAGTTTTCAATATCTAGTTTTGTATTGGCCAAAATCTTTAGGGAGTATGTTCATTAATAACTTGGATTAGCGTAAACATGTTGGTTAATCTGTTGGTCCACGCTTCACAATCGCACAACCATCTCCCTGATCCTTGTTGAACAAGGTTCGCGAAGTGCTTGATATTTGTGTTAATCAAGCGCTTCACAACAGTATCTTTGGGCTTCATCGACCATCCTGCAGCTTAACAAGCTTAGGAAGTAGCTTTAGTTATGATGGCGGCAGCATCAACAGTATTTTTGGGCTTCATCGACCATTGTGAGGATTAAATACCCGATGGTAAGTCCAAGGTGACCTGTTAAACTAAAAACGTAAAGCAAACCTATAAGCAGATCATTACGGCCCAAGCTGTGTTGGATTGATTGTGCTTGAGCATCGTGGGGGTTGATGCAGCAGGGGAATGCGGGAAATCATCCCCTCATAATGAAGTTATTTCCATGTGCTGAGGCAACACCAGACGAGAAAGCTCTGGTCTCCGCCTGTCAATTTCCGAGCTGTCTTTGTGCTGTCATGCTCTCCAACACTGCTAAATCATCTGAGATTTAACCTGAAATCTCCACAACAATCCCCAAATGATGCAACATAGCAAACCAGCTGGGTGGCTACAAGTGTGGAGGTCAGTCTTGATTTCATTGCTCCATCTTTGCTCATTTTTTTTATTTCTTCGAAACTTCCGTTTAATATATAGATAGATATTACAAATGCTTGCTTTGATGCTTATACACTTCCTTCCTTGAAATGGAAAATCTGGAAACTCAAACTGATATCAAAGTGCTTCAACATGATAATACATAGTCACTTACAAGTCTTAAACATATATGAATCCTTTACAAAGAAAAAGTTCAATCATCCTTTACAATGAAGAAGGGAGACCAAATAACTATATTTGCATGGCTCGAGAAAGTACTAACGACCCAGCTGTCTGCAACATTTTATACAATCCATGTCCAATATATATATATATAACCAGAACAGATTAAACTGTTATCTATATATATCTTCCTAGGTACCTTTATAATAAGTATTCTTATTGGCAAGCAAACTCTTAGTAATAGAGAGACCCTGCAGAAACAACAAAGATGTCAATCTTCTGGTTCGGGTTCAGAATAGCCCCAATAGACAGTGATACTATACCTTGCCACCAGTTTCCTCTTGATGCCATCCCTGAATCCTCTTCTCCACCATCCTTCTTATACCACAAAGAGTTGCGCAAACATGTTAGCTGAATCCTAAATAAAAAGGTAGATCGAAGTATGTAAATCTGAATATAATTTGATGTAGTTACTCACCATGGAGTTTAATCCAGAGCCCTGGCTACTATGGGGAAGAGAGTATATATCTTGGCCACCATAGTAGATCGATGAACTTAGATTACATGGTTGTATTCTTTGCTCCTGATATCTGGAACTCGTGTCTCTATTCACCGTGTTTGGATTTTCACCTTCATGTCCTTTGGAAGAATTACCTGATAATACTGAATCAATTTAAGAGAATTCTCGGACAGTAAATCGAGCATTCACTAATTAGCTAGCAGAGCAGTTATAGAATCTTGAGCTACAAGAAATTGGGGGCTACTACTGCTATTTATATTTCGTATCACAATAATGCTATAAGATAAACCAATAAACGGTACAGAGTACAAACAACTAATATATATGATTTGAATGTAAATTCAGTATAAAATCCGGTAAATGCTACAAGTGATGCACAAACCAGAGGCTCCAGGTTTTGTGTTCCAGAGCTCGTTCGGAGTATCCTGCATATTGGTCGTCAAATCAGGACGCAGAGACTCCCTCCCCAAAACCTATGTTTGAGACAAAGAGGGAAACACCAATATTATAACAAAAAGACTTTCAAAGCTTAAAGCTGTTTCAAACAACAATGGCATCGTACCTAACACAATCCCAATTTTGCAATGCTCTTAACCAAATCCAAACTTGGAACCGAAAAACATGAAAATAATACCTTTGATGGAGGAGCAAATATAGAGCCGAAAATCACAGAGGAAGATGAAGGTATGTCTTTTGAGCCAAAGAGCTCTGAAGTCAAGGAAGAAGAAAACGAGGATCCCACTCCTTTATTCCCTTCCATTGTCTCTAGACAGTCAAAATAATCTTTTCTTAGTCCCCAAGAAAGATGTATATTTGAAAGGAAGCACCGTCAAGAATGAAAACTCAATAGAGTAAACAAGAAGAACACAGTAGGCAACATTAAAGCAGATTTAAAAGACACTTGAAGATCTCGGCCTGTGTTGCCATTAAGTTGTTTTTATTATAGTTTTTCAAGAGAGAAAAGAAATCGTCTCTGCCCTTTACCAAGTTATAGATACTAACCGACGTGCAGTTGCAGACAGATAGAGATATGCCACGTGAAGCAGTAATTGTGCGAGAGTCCTAACCTTTCCAACAAGTTAAGATGAACACTGCCTTTGGCAATAGTCGATATTTATACACAATGTGATGGATAAAATAAGGAAAGTAAACCAATATTTAATTTCATTTCATTTAATGTAGAATAAAATCAAATCGGGATGAGAAGAAGCCTCTCTGTATTGAATTCAATTTTGACTTGGCTACTTTGGTGACTATGGGCAGTTCCAGTTATCAAAGGGGTGCCTACAGCCTACCCCACTTATGACCATATCCCTTTATCCTGTAAACTGATGGGTCTTCTTCATTCACTCTCTGTTTTCAGGACTCTTTTGGAGCTAATGGTACTGGACCTTGAACACCCCTCTCCCTTGTGTTTTAAACAAGTCATTGGTTATGATAAGGAAAATAAGATTCTCATATCAGTAAAATAGATAGAATAGTAAAGTTATGGTGAAGTCTTGTGGATGAAAGTGGAACACCTAGCCAAGTAATGACATTGGATAAAAGAGAAAACGGCAAAAGCTAAAACTAATAATGCTAGCTATTCACAAGATAAGAACAATATTTGGACAACAAAACGAGGAAAAGCAAAGCAAAAAGTTACTACACTTTCTAAGACTAGCATGCCACTCCTGTGCCTTCTACTCACCACCATCCTATCAAACACCATACCATCAACTAATTTGCTTTGCATGGGTTACATGTATAATCTGTGATTCTCATTTTTTTAACTGGGATTTGATTTCTTTACATTATGCACATTTTCCATTAATAAATACAAGTTAAGGAATTCTTTTTCAGAAAAAAGAGAAAAATAATAATGAAATTAATTACTCGAGTAACAGTGAACGAACGCAGAACTAAAATTTTATGAGTTGAATGATTCTTCTCCTAACTGTTAAAAGTTTCAAAGTTTGGCAACCAACTTTGGAAAATGTTTTTTCAAAGTTTGGTAAATGTTTCTTTGAAAAATGTTTTTCAAAGTTTGGTAAAATTTTGGTAGATGTTTGTTGAAAATAGGAATGGGTAAATTCACTTTAGTCATTGCACTTTAGGGTATTTTCAAAGATTAGTCCCTAAGTTTCTACTATAAATACCCTTACCCATTTAGCTTCAAAATCATCCCAAAACATTTCTTTCTTCCTATACTAGAGAGCTTTCTTGTGAGTAGTGAGTGTTTTGTAAACACCTGTAAATTTTCTCTCTTAGTAAAAGATCTGCAGCAGCCCGGAGACGTAAGCACAATTGGCTGAACTCCGTTATCAATTTTCGGGTATTATTTTTCCGCTTTTATTTCGCATTCTCACTAATCTGGTTAAAGGGAAATTACTTGTACTCGGTTTATTTTCCTAACAACTGGTAATCAGAGCTTTTGGTTGTGAATTTTGTCAAATTTTCTGCGAGGTTACTATTCATTACTATTCACGTGAATAGTGAATTTCGTGAATAGTGAAATTCGGTCGGCGATACGAGTTTGTCGACGGTGGTGTTCTAATACACGGTGATTCGCAAGAATTGTCAGAAACGATCCAAACGAAGCCAGATTCGAGTGGGAGCGATGGCTGCAGACGAAGGGAAGGTGAAAATTGAAAAGTTCGATGGTGCGGACTTTGGCTTTTGGAAGATGCAGATTGAAGATTTTTTGTACCAGAAAAATCTATATCAACCTCTCTCAGGAAAGCAACCAGAGGGCATGAAGGATGAAGATTGGGCTCTTCTCGACAGACAAGCCCTCGGAGTTATCCGACTGACGTTATCCCGCAATGTTGCTTTTAACATAGCAAAGGAAAAGACCACGGCGGGTCTTATGGCGGCTCTCTCCAGTATGTACGAGAAGCCATCGGCCTCAAACAAAGTTCATTTGATGAGGCGATTATTCAATTTGCGGATGGCGGAAGGGGCATCGGTGGCACAACACCTAAATGAACTCAACACAATCAACCCAGTTGAGTTCAGTGGAAATTGAGTTCGATGATGAAGTTCGAGCTTTAATTCTCTTATCATCTCTACCAGACAGTTGGAATGCTACTGTTACAGCAGTCAGCAGTTCGTCGGGAAACAGCAAATTAAAATTCGACGATGTTCGAGATCTGGTATTGAGTGAAGAAATTCGACGAAGAGAATCGGGTGAAGCATCAACCTCCTCAGCCTTACACACGGAGTCTAGAGGGAGAACTTCAGAAAGAAATTCAAATCGTGGCAGATCAAAATCTAGAAGGGGCAAATCAAGAACAGGAAATAAAGATTTTACCTGTTATAATTGCGGCAAAAAGGGTCACTTCAAAAGAGATTGCCGAGCACCGAAGAAAAATACCGGCGCACAGGAATCTGCCAACATGACGGAGGAGACAGGTGATGCCATGATTTTAAGCGTCAACAGTCGATTGAATCATGGATCTTGGATTCAGGGGCATCTTTCCACTCCACCCCATGTCGAGAAATCATGGAGAACTATGTCAGTGGTGATTTTGGGAAGGTTCATCTTGCTGATGATGAAACCTTAAAGATCGTCGGAAAAGGAGACATCCGACTAAAGTTGCCAAACCAGACCACCTGGAAGCTGACAGGAGTGAGACATATTCCTGGCCTCAAAAGAAATCTGATTTCTGTTGGACAGCTTGATGGAGAAGGATATAGCACAACCTTTTCAGGCTGTGAATGGAAGATTACCAAAGGAGCACTCGTCATTGCTCGTGGTAAGAAGACTGGTACTCTCTATGTAACCTCAATTTAGAGAATATCATTGCAGTAGCAGATGCTGATGGAAAATCAAACCTATGGCACCAAAGGCTTGGCCATATGAGCGAGAAAGGGATGAAGACACTTTTGTCAAAAGGGAAGCTGCCGGATCTAAAAAATGTAGATGTCGGACTATGCGAGGATTGCATCTTTGGCAAACAAAAGAAAGTCAGTTTTGCAAAGATTGGCAAGACACCCAAGGCAGAAAGGTTAGAATTGGTTCATACTGATGTATGGGGACCATCCCCAGTTCCATCTCTTGCAGGCTCACTATATTATGTCACCTTCATCGATGATTCAACAAGGAAGGTGTGGGTTTATTTTCTGAAGAAGAAATCAGAAGTCTTCGATATCTTCAGAAAATGGAAGGCCATGGTGGAAAATGAGACTGGTTTGAAAGTCAAGCGGTTGAGGTCTGACAATGGAGGAGAGTACAGAGACAGTAGATTCAGAGATTTCTGCGCAAACAATGGGATCAAGATGGAGACAACAGTTCCCAAGACACCGCAACATAATGGTGTAGCAGAGCGCATGAACAGAACTCTGAATGAACGTGCCAGAAGTATGAGGATACATGCCGGCTTGCCCAAATTTCTATGGGCTGAAGCAATCAACACTGCAGCTACTTGATCAACCGTGGGCCCTCAGTTCCTTTGGATGGCAGAATACCAGAGGAAGTTTGGAGCAAGAAAGAAATAAACCTTTCACACTTAAGAGTGTTTGGTTGTATTTCTTATGTACACATAGACTCTGTTGAAAGAAGTAAGCTTGATGCTAAGTCCAACAAATGTGCCTTTGTTGGTTATGGCGGTGATGAGTTCGGTTACCGGTTTTGGGACTATGAAAATCGGAAGATCATCAGAAGCAGAGACGTCATTTTCAATGAAAATGTGATGTACAAAGATAGATCAACCGCAGAATCAAGTAATACCGAAGCTGAAACAAAGGAATTTGCTGAGTTCGAGGAGATTTCTGGAAATGATGTTCAGATCAATCCTGAAGCAGTTCAAGAAGAACCAGGCACACCAGAACTGAGACGCTCATCCAGAATTCCTAAACCAACCCAACGGTATTCTCCTTCTTTACACTACTTGTTGCTGACTGACAATGGTGAACCAGAGTGCTATGATGAAGCAATGCAAGTGGAGGATTCAGTCAAGTGGGAGTCTTCCATGAAAGATGAGATGGACTCGCTTATGTCAAATCAGACATGGGAATTAGCTGAATTACCACCAGGCAAGAAAGCGCTCCACAACAAGTGGATTTACAGGATCAAAGAAGAGCACGATGGGAGCAAACGCTACAAAGCAGATTGGTTGTCAAAGGCTTTCAGCAAAAAGAAGGTATTGACTACAATGAAATTTTCTCTCCAGTCGTAAAATTGTCTACAATCAGACTGGTGTTGAAAATTGTAGCTGCAGAGAATTTACATCTTGAGCAGTTAGATGTAAAGACAGCTTTCCTTCATGGTGATTTGGAGGAAGAAATCTATATGAGGCAGCCAGAAGGCTTCATAGAGGCAGACAAGAAAACCTGGTATGCAGGTTGAAGAAGAGCTTGTATGGTTTAAAACAAGCTCCTAGACAGTGGTACAAGAAGTTCGATAGCTTCATGAGTAGCAGTGGTTTTATCAGATGCCAAGCAGATCATTGTTGCTACATCAAGAGGTTCGACAACAGCTTCATTATTTTATTATTGTACGTTGATGACATGCTCGTTGCAGGCTCAGACATGCAGAGATATACACTTGAAGCAAAAATTGTCGAAGCAGTTTGCTATGAAGGATCTGGGCGCTGCAAAGCAGATTCTTGGGATGAGGATCAAGAGAGACACAAAGTCGGGGACTTTGATGTTATCACAGGCTGAGTACATCAACAAAGTACTCTCCAGGTTCAACATGCAAGATGCTAAACCAGTAAGTACACCTTTAGGTGTTCATTTCAGACTCTCCAAAGACCAATCACCAAAGACGGAGGAAGAACGTGCACACATGGTGAAGGTGCCGTATGCCTCAGCAATTGGAAGTCTGATGTATGCCATGGTTTGTACCAGACCAGATATTGCTCATGCAGTGGGAGCTGTTAGCAGGTACATGAATAATCCGGGCAAGGTACACTGGGAAGCAGTCAAATGGATCCTCAGATATCTTCGGGGTACCACAAACAAAGCACTTTGTTTCAAAGGTGGAGATATGATACTGACAGGCTATGTAGATGCTGACTTAGCCGGAAATGTCGACATCAGAAGGAGCACTACAGGGTATGTCTATACTCTAGGAGGAACTGCAGTGAGTTGGGTTTCTCACTACAGAAGATAGTTGCTCTCTCCACAACTGAAGCAGAATATGTCGCTGTTACGGAAGCCAGCAAGGAGATGGTTTGGCTCCAAAGTTTCTTGGAAGAGTTAGGCAAGAAACAAGAAAACAATATCTTGTATTGCGACAGTCAAAGTGCTATCCATCTAGCAAAGAATCCGTCTTTTCATTCCAGGACAAAGCACATACAATTGAGATATCATTTTATCCGGTCTCTTCTGGAAGATGGGATTTTGAAACTGAAAAGATTAGTGGAGCTCAAAATCCGGCAGACATGTTGACAAGACGGTGACTACGGACAAACTGAAGTTGTGTTCAGCTTCAGTTGGCATGCTAGAATAACAAGACCAGACATGCTGCTGCATTGATCGAGGTGTGAAGACATATTAAAATCAGTCTTCAAGTGGGAGATTGTTAAAAGTTTCAAAGTTTGGCAACCAACTTTGGAAAATGTTTTTTCAAAGTTTGGTAAATGTTTCTTTGAAAAATGTTTTTCAAAGTTTGGTAAAATTTTGGTAGATGTTTGTTGAAAATAGGAATGGGTAAATTCACTTTAGTCATTGCACTTTAGGGTATTTTCAAAGATTAGTCCCTAAGTTTCTACTATAAATACCCTTACCCATTTAGCTTCAAAATCATCCCAAAACATTTCTTTCTTCCTATACTAGAGAGCTTTCTTGTGAGTAGTGAGTGTTTTGTAAACACCTGTAAATTTTCTCTCTTAGTAAAAGATCTGCAGCAGCCCGGAGACGTAAGCACAATTGGCTGAACTCCGTTATCAATTTTCGGGTATTATTTTTCCGCTTTTATTTCGCATTCTCACTAATCTGGTTAAAGGGAAATTACTTGTACTCGGTTTATTTTCCTAACACTAACAAATGAATGAAAAATAAGAGTAAATCCATAACAGGCTACTAATCTCAAGTCCAATCAAATTTCACAAATTTCAACAATTTAGTCACTATACCTCAAGATGCTAGTAAGCATTAATGTCTTTTTATAAAATGTGGTCAATCCTTCGCACTTACATGAGTTACCAAATTAATTAGGTTTTGAGCTCAGATTTAGGTATTTAGATTATTTAAGGTCCATTTACACAGTGGGTTAGGATCATGTTTTTAGATAGACAGATTAACCGAATTTAATTGTTGAGATTAAAGCTTTTAAATTTGAAGATAATCACTCTTTTTTATTTAAAAATCTCCTCATGATAATCCTAATGATTCATTTTCAATTATTTAACCATCTAAAAATCGTATAAAAATTAATTTTTTTACCGTGTTGATGATTCTACCCGGATTTAGACTTGTTGCTATGTGTATAAAAGCAGTCTTTGATGAATGATGGTCTAAGAAATTACAGCAAGTCACCCGGACTCATTTTCTTTCTCGTTTGTTGTGCCGCTTTTCTTCGTTCCACACAACAAACGGCCGGCGTTGGTCGTCGGAGGTCGGACGGTCGGAAGATGGCAAGCTTCATGGATATGATGCTTCTTATGAATTCAGCTAATTTATATTCGCTGTAAATTTTATTTACTGTTGCATAATTCCAACTTGTCATTATATTTTTCTCATGTGTTGCATGTAATTCATGTGTTATTATTTTTTTAATAATATATTTTTTGTTTTTCTTTTAATTCATCAATAATGTATTTTTTGTTATATATAATCCATATTAACCTTAAAACATCAAACTTTAATCTGAAATCTAATTCTCAAATCTTAAAATGTAGAAACTAAAATCCTAAAATAAAAGTCTACATAAATATATGTATCAAGATCAGATGATACAAATATTATGGTGCTTCGTAAATACAACTGCAATTACCTTCACCAACAAATTCCCGCCTGAAGTTAATCCTGAATCTGGGGAACCAGGCTTTGTCCCATAACAATCATGGAATCCGATCGAGCAGTTTGCATGAAAAACGTCACGCTTTTGGTCGTTAAGGTCAGTTCCACTTTGAATTTCAAGATTAATTAAGAGATAATGGAAATATATTTGAATATCTGATAAGATTTTCTTAATCTTATCCATGGAATTCGATCTTTGTATATTGTTGGATGAAATTTAAAGCTAAGGGCCAACAAAATCGGGTTATACATCACAAAATATTGCATGTGAAAAAATATAAATAAAAATATCAACAAAAGTTTGGGGATAAAGAAAATATCAGAATCCATCCAAGGAAATGGTGTCGCGTGTCATATCATATATGGAACTCTCTCCTGAGTTACGGATTTTAATTATAGTATTTGTATTGTCTTACGTCTCTCAATTGATCCCCATGTGAAGCATGACCTCTTCTGCCATAATTCCGCACGGACCAATCACGACATTGCAACGACAACAGCAAAATACAAACTATACTGTTAGTATTCTCCTTAAGTTTGGGGGCAGTCTCTATTATTGAAATCGAAGCTACTTGGACGTGCCTCATTCATCTTCTTTGCATATCTCCACCCCCCTCGGTTACTCCAATTCTCACTCAATGGATCTTACCCGAGCTTTTATGAGCGATGTCAAGCGTCTAATTGTCAAGGTTCTGTTTTCGCACCTTAAACTTTTTCTTCGATTGATTTGGTTTATTTTGTTTTTGTTGATAATGTGGTTTTGATTTGATGTTTCTGAATAAGAGGGAGTAATTTGATTTATGGGTTTTGATTAACAAAGGTGGGAACAGCCGTGGTGACTCGACATGATGGGAGATTAGCAGTGGGTAGGCTTGGAGCTTTATGTGAACAGGTTAATAATCTAACAAGAGAAGGGTACAATGGGAAAGATGGCATTTTGATTTTTGATTTTCCATTGTGGGATTGTTCTATAGAAAGGGGATTTTGTGGCTAATCAAAGTATTAAATTTGTTTTTTTATCGATTTGGTTGCTTGCAGCTTAAGGAACTAAACTCTCAAGGATATGAGATTGTTTTAGTTACTTCAGGTGCTGTTGGTCTCGGTCGTCAAAGGCTTAGATACAGGAAATTGGTTAATAGCAGGTTCATTTCCTTAGAAACCCATTTTCGTTTTTTTTCCTTTTGGTGTCATGAGCAGGGTTTCAAATCGCGATCGCACCCGCGTTTTCGGTCATTTCGGGTTTACTGTGATTGTGGCTGTCACGGGCGCTATAGCGGGTGTAGAAGGTAACTCAGACAGTGGCGAAACCGCTATTTCACGGATGAAATCACGTTTTCGGACCGTGATTTGAAACCCTGGTCATGAGCACTAAACAATCATTGTATTTTCAGAGACTTTGAATTAAAAAGATTTGATCTTTGCGTTGTAGCTTGGCTGACCTTCAAAACCCACAAGTTGAGCTTGATGGCAAGGGTTGTGCTGCTGTTGGCCAGAATAGTTTAATGGCTCTTTATGACACTTTGTTTAGCCAGGTGAAAAAGAACATGGTTTCTAGATTTTTTATTTTGCATTTGGGAGCCTATTGATATCCTTTTTCTTTATGTTTCACTTGATTTAATATGCAACTCAAATCTTCATGCAGCTTGATGTTACTTCTTCGCAACATCTTGTAACGGATACTGATTTTATGAATGATAGCTTCAGAACGCAACTCTCTGAAACAGTGAAATCGTTATTAGCTTTGAAAGTTATTCCTGTTTTCAATGAGAATGATGCAGTCAGCACTCGAAGACAACCTTACGAGGTAATACAATTCCTTTCCCTCTATAGCTTGAATCATTCTATGTTGTTCATTCTCTTATAACCAGAAATTTCATTGGTCACATGTGATGTGGCATATTAATAGAGCCATTTTATAGCTAAGGCCTTCGAGTTCAAGCTTCATCCTTTTTTCTTACTTTGTTCTATTCTTCCTTTCAGGCTGCTTATTTTGATTCTGACAAATTGATTGCAAGCATTGTTTCAGGATTCTTCTGGTATATTCTGGGATAATGACAGTTTGGCTGGTCTCTTAGCTATGGAAATAAAGGCTGATCTCCTTGTTTTGTTGAGTGATGTGGAGGGTCTCTACAGCGGACCACCAAGTGATCCGGGCTCAAAGCTGATCCATACATATGTACAAGAAAAACATCAAGCAGAAATAACATTCGGTGACAAGTCCAGGTTAGGTAGAGGGGGTATGACTGCAAAGGTTGATGCATCTGTTTGTGCCGCTTCTTCTGGCATCCCTGTTGTTATTACTAGGTATGTCTTGATCCAACTCCACAAACCTATTTACAAATAACCATGTTATTAATAAATCCAGACAGTTCAACTAGCTTATTTAAATTCTTGACAAAATTTGTTCTTGCTGGTGAGTTATCATTAGCCACTCCTCTGCATGTTTTTGTTTGTCGTGTGTTTGTGAGAGGTATGTGTTCCTTTGTTTACTGAACTGTTCTTTTTTAGTAGACCTCATTTTGCGTTTTACTTCTTTTAAAGTGGCTATGCCACTGACAACATCATAAAGGTACTTCAAGGGAAGTCTGTCGGTACCCTATTTCATAAAGATGCACACCTATGGACTTCAGTTAAAGAAGTTGGTGCACGTGAAATGGCAGTTGCAGCACGGGAATGTTCTAGACAGCTACAGGTAGGAAGCATTGTTTCTTCTAGTGGTCACCATAAATGACATCTTTTAGTGTACATGTTATTCATTGAAGAAATTAGGTTTGGATATTTTTCTTAATCATCATTATTTCAGACAATGAGATCTGAAGATAGAAGGAAACTTTTGCTGAACATAGCTGATGCCCTAGAGGCAAATGAAAGTTCGATTCTGGCTGAGAATGCAGCTGATGTTGCTGCTGCCGAGGATGAGGGATATGAGAAGGCACTAATATCTCGTTTGGCCCTAAAGCCTGGGAAGGCAAGCATCTGTTAACCTTGGATTTATGTGATAGAAAATAAATCAGTTTTCAATTTTGCATGTGTTGCTGCCTTTGATATCCAAGTTTGTTCTGTTTATTCTTTTGCGTAAGTGCATTCCTCAGGTTTCTCGTAATTTTTTTTTACAGATTGCTGCTCTTGCGAAATCTATTTGTGTTATTGCTGACATGGAAGAGCCTATTGATCGTATTTTAAAGAAAACAGAGGTTAGAAATCCTATATATATATATATAAAGTAATGTGTCAACTTGCTTTCTTCATCACTGGTTTAACTATTTACTTTGACTGCACTTGGTGCAGCTTGCAGATGGACTCATCTTGGAGAAAACATCTTGTCCCCTGGGTGTCCTGCTGATTATATTTGAGTCAAGACCTGATGCCCTTGTTCAGGTAACAGTCCATTTAGCTTACAAGGTGCTGTGAATTTTCACTTTCATGTGAGAATTCATGATTTCTTGTGAACTTTTGACAGTTTCTCTTGCATCTTTAGGGATAATTAGTGTGAAGATACTTTCCTCTTAATCCTAGGTACACTAAGCAGATGCCTTTTTCATTTCTGTAGAATACCATCTTTTATCTAACATTCCACTGAGAAATCATCTACTATTTGACTTTTGTGAAGTCCTTTTCTTTGTAGTCACATTCCTTCGTCATGCTTTAGAGTCCAGTACATTGCTTTCTTTTGCTAGATGAAGCATAGGATATTGAATTTCAACACTGCCCTATTTGATTACTGCATGCAGAGTTCTTGTGTTCTACGAATTCTCTAGCTTTGGAATATCACTTTTATGTTATATCTTTGGGTTTAAAGTTGTTTTTCTTGATTATTTTACTACCTTTCTTCCTTTAATGGTTCAACAGATAGCTTCACTAGCCCTTCGAACTGGGAACAGTTTACTTCTTAAAGGTGGCAAAGAAGCCAGGCGGTCGAATGCAATCTTGCACAAGGTTCTAGGTTCTTGCAAATACTTATACTGGAGCATATTCCTTACTGTTTTTGTTTCTCTTCACTATTTTTCTCCTTTAAATATTTCTTTTTCTATATTGTCAGATCATTACTTCGGTCATCCCAGAGAGCATTGGAGACAAACTTATAGGACTTGTTCCTTCAAAAGAGGATATTCTTGATTTGCTTAAGGTGGGTTGCAGGATTTTGAGTTCCTTACAGCTCTTTGGTATGCGATAGTTTTTAAGTTATTCTATTTTGCTACAGCTTGACGATGTGATAGACCTTGTGATCCCCAGAGGCAGCAATAGTCTTGTTTCTGAAATTAAGAGTTTGACGAAAATTCCTGTTCTTGGTCATGCTGGTAAGACAAATGTTGTAGCTCTTTGATGCACCATGAATTAGACCTTCTACTGAACTTTTAACTTTTCATTGCAGATGGAGTTTGTCATGTTTATGTTGACAAGTCAGCTAATGCGGACATGGCCAAAAAAATTGTTCTGGATGCAAAGATAGATTACCCAGCAGCATGTAACACTATGGTAATTTCATTATACATAAATTTCTGCTTCTGTTCCCATAGCTGCATATTTAATGTGTATGCCTTTCTGTTTCATTCTATAATTTTATCATATACAATTCTCTTATTTTTCGATGTAGTTTGTTTCTGAAGTTTCTTAACCACGCTTTCTTTAGGGAACTCTTCTAGTACACCATGATTTGTCAAGTTCTGGTTTGCTCCATGAACTTCTTGTAGAACTCCGACGTGAAGGTACGCTTAACTGAACGGCTTTCTAACCGACCCAGTGCTTCAAACTGTGCATCACTTTAAAGTTTTCTTAATATGCTAATTCAATTGATTTGGTGGTTTTCATGGCATTCTTCTTACACGATCATGTAAATTATCTGTTAAATCACGAGTGTAAAACATATTTGTATCTTGTATATGATTCTGTTTGAGGCTTCTATGTTCTGCTATTGATCTTTTGTGCGTTATTTTCTGTAGGTGTTACCCTTTATGGTGGTCCAAGAGCAAGTTCCTTGTTAAAACTTCCCAAGGCTCAATCATTACATCATGAGTACAGTTCACTGGCTTGCACAGTTGAATTTGTGTATGATGTGGAGGCTGCTATTGACCACATACACCAGCATGGAAGGCATGTCGTGTCTCGCGGAATTCTTTTCTTTTCCTTTCTTTATTTATGCCATTGAGTTGTTAGCTGTCTTTCTCTGAATTTCAAGTAATTTGCTCGCTCTGCAGTTCTCACACCGACGCCATTGTCACCGAAGATCTTGAAGTTGCTGAAACGTTTTTGCACAGAGTAGACAGGTATGCTTACATCTGGGTTGAACTCATTATTAAGTGATTACTTCTCTCTTCTGCTTACCATGTTTGTGGGCAAAGATACAATAAATTGTTGATGTTGGTGCTATGCAATTCTTTATCTGTTTTCTTTGCAGCGCTGCCGTATTTCATAATGCAAGCATACGGTTTTGTGATGGAGCACGATTCGGACTTGGTGCTGAGGTAATCAATCTCTCAAAATATCATGTTTTGGACAACACTGTCAATTTCCTGAACTGTTTCAATTTTGATGCACGTGTTTTAACAGGTTGGAGTAAGTACAAGCAGGATTCATGCCCGAGGTCCGGTTGGAGTTGAAGGATTGTTAACAACTCGATGGTATGCGAATATCTATCCCGATTTTGTTTATGATTAAAACATATTCTTACATATATCTTCTAACAACTACATGGCTGTTAAAAATTATAGGATTTTGAGAGGGAGTGGGCAGGTGGTGAATGGTGACAAAGGGATTGTGTACAGCCACAAGGATCTTCCCCTGCAAACATAAATATAATCTGTTCCAACCTTGAGAGATGAAAGGAAATGTTTTTGTTTCTTTTCCTTTATTCTCTCCGTTAGCTGCTATATCTTGTAACATAGAACTCTGCAGAACTGCTCGTATGTCTGTGCATTTTGTTCCCGGATTTTTTATTTTTTGTCTGGATCATGGTTGGTACAGAACACTGTAGAATAATAATCGAATGAATCGAATCAACTTAAATGATTCTTATTATAATGAGTTAAGATTCCACAGAAGGAAACTTTACATTATCAGGTAGAGAAGCTCTGAAAATAGAAATGTGTGATTAAACACTTGCAGCACATGTCTGCTCAGATTTCACCATCCCCTTGGAATTGTTGGGGTAAAGCGTCTAACATCTCGCCTTGTCACATGCCAAAATGATCGGATCCATCGAACAACTCCACCGAGAAATTTGCATTTGACATCATCCTCCTCACCGGTCCGGATGAAGAGTTTGATGTCTCAACTGATCCGTATTTTGGCATTTTAATTCCAACGAACAATATTCAATAGCACGAACTGTATCTTTTCAGCAACGGAACCATCAGGATAACCTCAACCGAAACTCTGATGCCAAAACATTGTAATACCTTTCTCAGATACTGCTTTTGTGTTAAACAAAGTTTCCCTCTCTGTCTATCTCTGTTTATCTCCATACCAAGAATCTTTTTGGCCTCACCTAGATCTTTCATCTCAAACTCTTGATTAAACTGAGCCTTTAATTTGTCTATCTCCTTTTGACTCTTCGAAGCGATCAACATATCGTCAACGTACAAGAGAAAATAAATGAAAGATCTTTAAGCTTTTGCAAATACACATTGTAGGAATTATAGAGATGATTTGTTACCATTCCTATAGAGATATGATTTGTTACCATTCCTATAGAGATATGATTTTGTAAATAGATTTCTACAATCCCTTATTTTAAGGGATCATATCCTAGGATTATTATTTTTCCTTTCTTAGAGTTTCCTACTTTAGAAAGATATTTTGTATATAAATATGTAATATGTCATATTGAAAAGAATAAGAAATTACAGAGAATTACTCTGAATTCTACATGGCATCAGCTTAGGTTACGGTTTCTTTCCAATATAGATGATGTCCACAACTTCTTCTCCTACTCCGGAGATCACTTCAAATCCAGAAAATTTTTCTGGTTCTGCTGCTCAATCAGAAGGTAATCTGGTCATGAAAGAACTAGAAGGTAAACCTCGATTCTGATACTACAGATCATATGACTGATAATAAAGATTTGTTTTACAATTTTTTTCCAAACTTTGGTAAAGCTGTCAAAACGGCTGATGGTTCTTTGTGCAAAATAGAAGGACATGACAATGTTATTCTCAATGACCAGATTGTACTTAAAAATGTCCTCTTCGTACCAAATCTGGCTTGCAATCTCGTTTTTGTTAGTAAACTTTCCACCGACTTGCACTGCTCTGCAATTTTTAATGATATTGATTGTACTTTGCAGGCACTTAACTCGAAGAAGATGATTGGTAAGGCCAGCTTGCAGAATGGTCTCTACATTCTTCCTGCCTCTACTAAAACCGAAATCTCGAAATATTTTACCGCTTTAGAAAAAGTTGATAATATTATGTTATGGCACTATCGTTTAGGTCATCCTAGTTTTCAGCATCTTACAAAAGTTTTTCCTACTCTATTCATTCATAAAAGGCCAAATTCTTTTTCTTGCAAAGTTTGCTCTCTTGCCAAACATACTAAATCAACTTATTCTCCTTCTACATATAAGCCTTCTCACCCTTTTGCTTTGATCCACAGTGATATTTGGGGTCATTCTCGGGTGAAGAATGCTGATAATTGTAAGTGGTTTATCAATTTCATTGATGATCACAGTAGGATAACTTGGACTTATTTGCTAAAAGATAAATCTGAAACTGCAGGTGTTTTTACCCAATTTTATAACATGGTTCTCACTCAATTTGGGTCTAAAATTCATCTCTTTAAATCTGATAATGACAGTGAATTTTTTTCTAAGTCTTTGGTTGCGTTTTTCAGGGAAAAGGGCATAGTTCAGATTAGTTCTTGTGTTGACACCCCACAACAAAACGGTATTGCCGAAAGAAAAAATAGACACCTCCTTGAAGTTACTTGTTCTTTTCTATTTACCACCAATGTTCCAAAATATTTGTGGGGGGAAGCCTTATTAACTGCCACATATTTAATCTATCGAATGCCTAGTAATGTTTTACAATTTCAAACACCTCAATCTATATTTCTCAATACTTTCCCCATTTTAAACCTATCTCCTCCATTCTTCCACTTAAAATATTTGGTTGTACTGTTTTTATCCAAAACATTGCTCCTAATAAGTCCAAGTTAGATCCTAAATCATTAAAGTGTGTACTGGTTGGGTATTCTTCACTTAAGAAGGGTTATAAATGCTATCATCCTCCTTCAAAATGATTTTTTACCACTATGGATATAACATTTTATGAGCAGGATCCCTATTTCACTCAGGCTGAAATTCAGGGGGAGACATGGAAGGATTTTCAGCCACATCAAGTATCTCCTCCTACTCTTCATTCTCAACCTTCAGAATTGCCACCAATTTTGTCCTTACCTACAGATTTGTCACCTGTAACTACTTCCATTGATCCACCGGTAGTACCTATCACTACTTCACCTATACCCACTTTAAATACCCTTCCTGAAAATACACATACTCCCATTCAAAATATTCCACAAACAACACCAATAAAACAACTTGTTTCTATACAAGGAAAAGAAAACATATTCTGAGGCTATTTTGTAATCTGATGCTTGCCGAGAATTGGATTTGGGTCCAGCTGCCGAAATAGAAGAAAAAATCAATAAGTCCACTTCCCCTACTCTAGATGACTTCCCTATTTCTATTAGAAAAGGGGTTAGACAGTGCACCAAGCATCCTATTGAAAAATTTGCTGGTTATAATTAATTGATGCCGCCTTTTCAAGCATTTACAACAAACTTGGATAAATAACAGGTTCCCACAAGCATAGCTGAAGCTCTAAAGGATTCAAAATGGAGAAGGGGTGTTGAAGAGGAAATTTGTGCACTGGAGAAAAATGCTACTTGAACTGTTACGGACCTCCCTCAAGGAAAAAAGGCTGTTGGCTGTAAATGGATCTTTACTGTAAAGTATAACTCAAATGGTAGCATCCAACGATACAAAGCGAGACTAGTGGCCAGAGGCTTTACACAAACATATGGGATATATTTCACAGAAACTTTTGCACCTGTGGCGAAGCTGAATACTGTTCGAGTACTCCTAAGTTTGGCTGTAAATTGCGATTGGAAATTACACCAACTTGATGTAAAAAACGTTTTTCTTAATGGCAAGCTAGAAGAAGAAGTCTATATGAAGTTGCCACCTGGCTTAAAGTCTGTTGAAGGAAGTAACAAGGTGTGCAAGCTCAACAAGTCTCTATACGGGTTAAAACAATCACCCAGAGCTTGGTTCGAGAGGTTCACTAAAGTCATCCTAAAAAATGGCTACAAGAAATCCCTCGCTGATCACACTCTTTTCATCAAGGTAACTTCTACAAATAATAAAGCTATCCTTATTGTGTACGTGGAAGACATAATTCTTGCCGGAGATGATGAAGAATAGATTTTCAATTTAAAGAAGTTGTTAAATAAGGAATTTGAAACCAAGGATTTGGGAAAGCTAAGGTATTTCCTAGGAATGGAGGTGGCAAGGTCAAAAGAAGGACTTGTGATCAACCAAAGAAAATATGTACTTGATTTACTCAAAGAAACTGGTTTTCTTGGTTGTAAGCTGATTGATACACCAATGGAGGCAAGCTTGAAATTTAACAAAGAAGATGGATCCTTGGTAGACAAAGAGAAATTTCAAAGATTAGTTGGGAAACTAATTTATTTATCCTTGACAAGGCCAGATATAGAATTTCCTGTATATGTGATAAGTCAACACATGACTAATCCTACTGAAGAGCATATGACAACAGCAAATAGAATTCTCAAGTACTTGAAGAAAACTCCAGGACACGGTTTAATGTTTAAGAAGACAGAAGACAGAACTGTTAAGATCTTTACAGATTCTAGTTGGGCTGGAGACCTTACTGAAAGGAGATCCACTAGTGGCTATGCACCTTTGTTTGGGGAAACCTTACAACTTGGAGAAGTAAGAAACAATCTGTCGTTTCAAGAAGTAGTGCTGAAGCTGAATTTAGAGCACTAACATTGGGAATATGCGAAGGAATTTGGCTACTTAAACTACTGAAAAAACTTGTCACTAATCAAGAGGATCACTTTGAAGTTTTGTGTGATAATCAATCTGCTATTCAAATTGCCAAGAACCCAGTTCAACATGATCGGACAAATCATGTTGAGATTGATAGGCACTTTATTGCTGATCAAGTTAACAAAAAGACAGCCACACTTTCATACATTCCTTCAGAAGAACAAGTTGCAGACATTCTTACTAAGGCTTTGCCAAAGCCTGTTTTCAATAAATTCCTATTCAAGCTGGGATTATACAATGTATATTCTCCAGCTTGAGGGGGAGTGTAGGAATTATAGAGATGATTTGTTACCATTCCTATGGAGATATGATTTGTTACCATTCCTATAGAGATATGATTTTGTAAATAGATTTCTACAATCCCTTATTTTAAGGGATCATATCCTAGGATTATTATTTTTCATTTCTTAGAGTTTCCTACTTTAAAGAGATATTTTGTATATAAATATGTAATCTGTCATATTGAAAAGAATAAGAAATTACAGAGAATTACTCTGAATTCTACACACACAATGATCATATTTGCTTCTAGTGTACTTTTGCCTCTCATAAAGATATCAAATCGCTTGTACCACTGCCTCGGAGATTGCTTCAATCCATATAGCGATTTGTTCAGCTTACAAACCCATTTCTCACAACCACCATCTTTTATCCTTCTGGCTGAGTCATATAGATCTCCTCTTCTAAATCTCCGTGCAAGAAAGTCGTCTTTACATCAAGTTGAGCTAGCTCCAAATTCAACTGTGCTACCAAGGTCAATAACATTCTAATGGAGGCATGCTTCACAACAGGGGAAAATACTTTATTGTAGTCGATCCCCTCCTTCTGAGCGTAGCCTTTAGCTATCAACCGTGCCTTGTAGCGAACATTTTTCTTGCTATGAGATCCATCTTTCTTTGCAAATACCCACTTGCATCCAATTGCTCTTTTACCTTTCGATAATTGAGCCAGTTTTCAAGTGTTGTTCTTTTGGAGAGATTGCATTTCTTCATCCATGACACTTTTCCACTTATCACTTTCCAAGCTTTGTATTGCTTCTTGGTAAGTGACAGGGATATCATCATCAACAACTGGAAGAGCATAGGCCACCATATCAACAAATCGAGCAGGTCTACGAATTTCTCTTCTTGGCCTTATAACTGCAAGTGGTTCTGGTGTCTCCAATGGTTCTTGGGTTTGAACCTCTTCATCTTCTGATTCTTCTATTGGAGTTGAAGAATCAGTTGCATCAACTTCTAGGATCATCGTCTGCTGAAACTCCACCTGTTTTAGAGTATGCTCCACCTGCTGTGGAGTACTACTTGTCTGGACAGCTTCATTTGTTACCTTCTTTATTAGGGCAGATTCATCAAATGTAACATCTTTGCTACAAATTATCTTCTTGGTTTTCTTCCTGAGCTCATAACTATACAAAGCAGTAGTTACATCTTTAAGAGTAACATTATCCTTACCATGAAGTAACGTTGTCTCAAGGTGCTCAAATTCATCTGGAAGAGATGACAACAACATCAAGGCCAAATCTTCATCTTTGAAGGTTTCATCCATGCCCAATAAGTCTGCCACTAGCTTATTGAACGCAGTGATGTGTTCATTCATACTGGTGCCTGGTTGATAATCAAATCTGAACAATCTTTTCTTCATGTGGAGACGATTTGAGAGCTTTTCTTTAGGAATTTTTCCTCCAATGTTTTCCACATCTTACTTACAGAAGTCTCGTTCTTGTAGCCATACTTCTGCTCCCTAGAAAGACAAGATCGAATCGTGTTGCACGCCAAACGATTGATTGTTCTCCATTCTTTCTCCTCCATATATTCGGGCTTTTATGATGACCAAGGTGGTAACAGTAATCAAGTTCAATCATTGTTTGAACTTGATTAACATCCTAAAAGTATGAACACCTTCGGGTGTGTGGCGCTTGTGAGTGCAATTAGAGGCACTACAAATTTGGGGAGTTGAAGAAGTTGAGTAGGCTTGGTAATTTCAAACCAAGGTGGAGATTTGTTAGATTTGGCTTGAAATTAAGTTGGCAAGTTGGAAATTTCATCTTGGTTGGTTGCCAAACTTTGAACATGAGAATTTCATATTTGGTGGCTAACTTGTACACATTGAAAATTCTTTGATAGGTGGCCAACTTATTTTTCATGTTTAATCTCTAAAATATTAGGTTATTTATAAGTTTAGTCCTTAAAACTCAATTATAAATAAGCCTATGTATTTCATTAGAAATCATCCCAAAAAACAAGTTCTCTCTTACTCTTGTATTCTTCATTCTTCCACTTTGGGAATTCTAAAGAATTTCATTTGTTGTAATATTTGTTGATAGTGAAGTTATCATCCGGTGTGGTGCCCGAGGAATAGACGATATTATCGTCGAACCTCGTAAATTTGGTGTGTTCTCTCCTTTATTGTTTTTATTCGGTTTTTTCCATTGTGTTTCAATATTCAATAGTTTGACAGATTTATCCGCTGTGCAACTTTTGGTGGTTTTGATCTTGACATTTTAGGTCAATTTTGAAACTACGTTCGTGTGAGAAATAACCCGATTTCCCCAACAGAAATGACAAGTGAAATCCCCTTGGAATAACAAAATTCATGTAGCTCTGGCTGCTGCCATACATGGTGAAGCTCGACTTGATTGACCACAGGAGTTATACGCGCCACTTCCAATAGATCCCGGAGCTTCTTTGCAGAGAAAGTACTCGCTCCAATAGCCTTAGCCTTACTGGAATCACAGAGTGCCTCCACTACTCTCCATGTTGCAGGGATGTCCGGTTGCGTAAGGTTTTCCCCCTTAACAACCATAGCTCCCCTTTTTTCACTCACTGGCCAATGTATCTTCAACATTCATCACGATTATCAACAACAATTTTACCTATTTTTGCACTAATTCTATATGCAGTAAGTGAAAAGAAGTCAAAGACACACCAGATAGAGATCAACATAGTCAAATTGCAAATCCTGCGGAGTTTTATTCAATGCCTTTGGTACATCTTCAGGCAAGCGATCAGAACACCTTAAATTCCAACGTAATGCCAAATGATCGAATTATAGTAGCACTAAATCTGTCACACACAAAAAAACATAGTAGAGGGACCTTTAATAGAATTTTACCAGAGTTTTGAGGTGACCCATATGTCCTGAGTGACGTGTCACCATACCCTCATTAAACACTTTTTCTGAGAGCAGAACCAATCTGAATTGAAACACAAACACATAAAACAGTCTGTTCCTATGAGAATGTTCTCGGAGACACCTACACCAAGCAAAGAGAATCCTGGAATCACCTCCTTGTCATTGAAGCACAATCACTATGCCTATATCCAACCTTGATGACAGTGTTTTGGAGAACACCATGTTTGGCACCATAAGCTCTTAGTTGGATGAATTTGATGCTAGTATCTGCCATTTCTCTACCAAAGAAGAGAGATGACGCAAACACAGAACTTCCAAATGTTTCATGTCCAACACCAGGTTAGTTTTTTTCCTTTCTATAATGCTTTTTGTAGAAAGATTTGACACTTGTCAACTCAGCATTTGGTTTTTAGTTATTCGTTATGATCTTCAGATGGAAAGGGGAAGCTCTACCAAAATGGCTTTTACTATTAGGGGGTCTTGTCCATTCACATGAAATCTTTAACATAATAACATATATGCTGTGAGCGTCCCGTAAAACCAAATGAAATTGTTTGATTAGGGTAATCCAATTAGTTTATATAAAGTCGTTTTAATTCGATTAGGTTAATAATTAATCTAATTCAATATCTTATTTTATAATTATCCCTGCATAACTTCATTTTTAAATAATTATCCTAATTGAATATTTATAACAATATCATTATTACCTATATTATGACATGATTTATTTTTTAATAATCATATTTTTAAATTATAAATGAGATTACAGTGTCCTAATAACTTTAACAATCGTTACGATATAATTATTACACTGGTTGTGGTTGTAATTTAATATTATATAAACGGTGTTAAATACAAAAGTACATAAGATGAATGGTACAAGTTGCTGAGAGCCTCACGGGAAATGAAGGTTAGGTATAAGTTTTGATCTGAAATTGAGAATGAAAGGTGGCTCGTGAACTGAGCAACCAATCCCCCATGCAAATAGTAAAGTAATAAGTGTGGACGATGTTCTCTCTTCCTTTTTTAAACAATAATTTGGTATTACAAAAACACCACGCATGATGTAGCTGACAAAAATGCTCTCTCTCTCTCTCTCTCTCCACCAATTCCATATTAAAACATGAGCTGAATGATAAACGACATTTTAAGCCCCCATCTGCTCTGTGTTTCGTCTGACACTGAACCCCTATAGGCTGTATCTAGTTAATTTAGGAGACCCTCACCCTTTGTTGCTATTTATTAAGCAATATGACGAAACCCCAGTGAAGACAAACCCCAACCAATCACCCTTCATATACAAGCATCTCTCTTTCCCTTTCAATTTCACTGTCACATGCATCGTTAGAAACACAAAGCCCTGAATATCACCAACACAACCTTGATGGAAACTGCTTTGTTTTGTATCACTTTATATTCCTTTGGTATACTAAGTATCTTAGCTTTATAGTTATAGCCCCCCTCTAAAACCTATCCCAGAGTCGAGCTCCAAATTTTCAGTAGGTATCTCGATTATACTTTATTATATTTTCATCGGGAATGCCTCTTTAAATAAAAAAAGGGCATGTATTAAGAGATTAGATCATGGAAGAAGGAACAAAAGATGCGTAGATAGCGGATATAGGTTACGGTGGCATAATATTCTCTTCAATAATTTTAAAAAATAAATAAATAAAGCACATTGTAATGCCATTTTGCAATACTTAAATGTAATGATTCTCAGAGTTGGTGGCAAATTTGGAAGGATTATAAAGAGGAGAGAGAGAGAAGAGAGCACAAGTAAATGAGATCTTGAGATAAATAATATAATAGCTAGTAGAATAAGAGAGGAAAAGGGAAAGCATGTTGCCATGTATGTGACCTTATTCATATGGCTTTGAGTTAGAATATCCATCTCATCATCTTAGACAAGTGTTGTGTTTTTGTGGGTTTAGTTTTGTAAATTGCTAATGGAATGTCAGTAGGTGTACAAGGGGAAAAGAGCTTATCAGTCATCACGATGTTCCATGCAGTTTTTATTTTTAGTTTTTTGCAGGCAACCCTTCTCTCACAAGCTGTCTAACATTTGCATTTACAAATATATCAAAAACATTCCATCCTATTACTGAATTTGCAACATGCAACTGATATATCCAGCTGGTATATATACCTTTTGATTCACAAATCATGCCTTTGGCACATGCAGCAGATTGTCGTAATTCAAACCAGAATAGATCATTGAAGCTAATATACATTCATGTGTTGTTTCAATGAAGACAAGCCCTAGAAAATCAAACAAGGCCTGCAACTTTGTATGGAAAGACAGGCATAGTTATTATCGACCTTTGAGTTTCAGAGTCAAAAACTTAGGACAAATACCATTGCACACAATCGATTTAACCTAAAATGTTTCTATGCGTCTATCTAAAAATTCATATGCATGGAGATGATATAAAGTATTTTTAATCCCTTTTTTCAATTATAAGCAAAGATGTCTTAAGATATGTAAACGAAGTTACACTCACAAACAACATATGATAATTTTAGACAGGACCAGATCGAAAGTATGGTCTTGCGATGAAACTACCTTACCTTGGTTCGATGACCAAGCCTTAGCTCAAGATCTATGTCGTCTTCAGTTGAGATTGGCTTGAGGAACAAGGGTAAGGTCGTGGGTGTATGATGATCACCGGTTCTCTTTCTCTTGCGGCCGACGGTGATGTCTTGTCTACTACCAGACGTAGTAGGGCGTGTTTCTCGAACAACTAGACTCAAGCTTGAAGACAAATCAGTAGTTTGGACATAATCTGCTTTAACCCTACATTCAGATTTTAGGATTCTTGGACTCTTGTCTCCGTCATCAGCCCTCAGATCAGAGAAATGGTAATATCTGTCAGCTGCTGAGTTTGACCATGATTTTGGGGACTTCTTGGGGCTTTCTTGGACCATTGGTGAGGATAAAGGAGGAACTAAAGTTTGTTCAAGACAAATCTGTTTACTAGGTGGAAGAGAATTAGGGTTAGGGTTATAAGCAAAGTTACAAACCTCATGATCAGGCTGGCACTGAAAACCCAAAGGTGAGAAGGGATTCTGATGATCATCATGTTCGGGATCAGTGGGTGGGGATTGCTTTAGCCTAGCTCTATCTCTCCTGTGGACATTCATGTGACCTCCTAGAGCTTGAGCCGATCTAAACTCCCGCCCACAAAAGCTGCAAGAATAAGACCTCGGAGGCCATATGCACCCTCCCAGTGCCCCACCAGCATCTTCTGCAAAAGCTTGCTCTTCCCATGATTCATAATAACAACTCAAACCATCCGATCTCCTCTTTCTCCACATCCAATACCCTGCTTGCTCCTCCATTGCACCCTTTGATTAAAAACACAGAAATAAAAAAAAGGAGAGGATAGTTGGACTTTGGAGAAAGAGCCAAAGAGCCAAAGCTAAAAGAACTACATATTAGAATCTGAATTGCTTAGGGAAGATGATTTTAATTGCTTGTAGCTTGTTTCTTTGTCAAGGGAAGAATGTGTTAGAAAATTACAAGTAATGGTGGAGTTACTTCTGGGATGTAGCTGCTTACAGACAAACTGGGAGACTCTGACTGAAATCCGACCTACAAACTTAGCAAAACAGATGTCACATTAGTGATTAATGCCATCTTTGGACATTATATTATCATTTCTTTATTTTCCCTATCCATTATTGAGCTTTTCTTAGGTACCTAAGGGTATAGAAATTTGAGCACATTATTTGTTCTAATTTACTGACAGATAACTTGATTAGTACCAAAATACAATTTCAATAATTTAATTAATAAAATTATTTATTCATTTAAAATAATTTAAAGGTGAAATGAATTAAATTAAACATAGGGTATTAGTTACTTTATTGTTGTTAGAATCTTTTCCTAGACCCTCTGAATTTTGAGCAAAATTCAGTCAACATTAAGGAACTCCTGCTCTTAAGGAATATAATCAAACTTGTTTTTTTTTCTTCTAAAAGAATAATTAGGTGTTTAAGATTTAGTTACTATTTTTTTGTTTAAACCCTTAATTAATTTGGCCTATTTGATTGGTAATTTTATTTTTAAACATTTAGGCTTTAAAAAATATATATATGGTAGCTATGATTACATTTTTTTAATTATAAGAAGGTCTATACTATGAAACTAAAAATAATAATTCTACAATAGAGAAGATTATGGATATCTTTGATAATTAAATCTCGAATTCCTTTCGAAACAACACTATAATTGATTATCGGAAAGTAACGAGGATATATTAATTTGATCATAGTCAGTTACCATATTATTTTTACCATAAATTCATTGTACTTTTGTCATCCAACATCTGTGTTGCAATCTGAATTATTGTGTTTCTTCTATATTTGTCATATTCATGAGGAAAATATAAACTTTTACCATCAAATACAATCTTACAATAAGCGCTTCCAAAGTTCACAAACAATTTTACAACCTCAACACATGTAAAATTATTTCCTGACCAATACCAAATATGAAAAGGAACGTATGATAACGTAAAAGTTATATAATCATCCGACATTAATTGATTAATTAATTAGAATGATCAATTAATTCCAAAATATAAAACAAAAGAGAAAGGATGTGCAACTGCCATTTCTCTATCTAATACTTATACAATATTATCACTTAAAAAGATAATATTTATTTACTACTTTCAAGAATATATATATATATATATATATATATATATATATATATATATGGGTGTAGGATTTGAGTTTTAAATTAGTCCCCCGACATAGATTATTGCCTTCTTCTTTGTAGATACCACGAAAAAACCGTCCTCATCTTCAACTCCATAATTTCAAGACCAATATTAAAGGAAATCAAATGCAAATATATATGAAGGTTAAGAAATTATAATTATATTTAAAGGAGAGCTTGGAAACAGTCCACTTGTTTTAGGTAAATGATATGACACTGATGACCACATATACAATAATAACAGTATTTCCCTTGTTTGAAAACAAATTAATTAATAGGAGTATTTTTTTTACAAATTTTGGTACAACTAGTAACTTAATTATTAAAACAGGTGTTCCAATTAATTAATTATTATAACTTGACAAGTACGTAGATATGCAACCCTCCTTGTAAGTATTTTCATTTATGCTAAAGGCTAAACTTTTACTAAAGCAAATGTTAAATTAGTACGAAGACATTGATTCAAACATTTTAGTTCTTAGAATTTTGTAGAACGAAATCTAAATTTTGTAAATGTTAAAGATGTGAAAGGAATTTGGTTGGGAAATCATTATCAATGTGGATAAACAAATCAACCAAACTAGGGGTATTTGTCCCCACTGTTTGTTAAGAGAGAGGGGGGAATTTCTTTTTAAAGTTTATTTGTTATTAAAAGATTATTATTGTTATTGTCACTAACACGGCAAGGAAGACAATAAATGATCCATGTTGAAAAGTGTAATAGTGAATAGTTTGTTGCTGTCATCTCTCAGACAATAAGCATGTCGTCACTCAGTGTTGTTAATTATTGTTCATGGACATTGTTTGTGCAAGATTTTATAGAAAAAACACAAAGGAACACTTGGGAAATTCAAACACTGAAGTTGCTGTCCAGCAAGTTTCCAATGAATCAAACCAGGCTTTACGTGACTTTGTTTCAGAAATTTCTGGTATTAATTGGATGGTGCAGGAGAGGAGGTGATTTTCTTGTTTATGATTTAATGGCTAATGGATGAGTATTTTGTTTGAAACAATCATAAATTGGGATTAACCTGTTGATTTCATAGAGATGTTAAGGCCTTTAGATGATGAGGTGCATGCAAAGTAAGATGTAAAACCTGTTGATTTCCACGTAACAAGGTTAGGAGGTTGAAGGGTACATGCCCCCAGCCTCTAATCTTCAAAATTCCCCCCTGCCTTGAACATCACTCCACAGGGATTAACCAGCAACCATATCTACAAGTTGCTGCTCAAGAAACAACCTGTCTAATCTAATCTAACAAGGATTTATCCCACCTAATTAACAAACTTATCACTCCTTGTCTACAATATAAATATATTCACTTGTTCCTTTTCTCCCCATCCCAATCACTTTTGACTATCCCATTTCTGCATCTTTACCAAATCATCACAGAAAATTACTGGGGGAAATGGTTTCTGTTCTTACATCATCTGCCTTTTCCAAGGCTTTATTGTTCCTAGCTTTATGTTCTGTCTGGTTGCTACCTGATTTGGCACTAGCAAAGCATGCAGGCATTACCAGGCACTTCAAGTTCAATGTAAGTTTTGGTTTTGGATAACTGTTCTACCCCTTTGCTCTTTCTCATTCATTTAACCTCCCACAGATTATGATGCAAAATGTGACAATGTTGTGTCAAACAAAGAGCATTGTGACAGTCAATGGCCAGTTCCCCGGGCCTCGGATTATAGAGAGGAAAGGCGATCGGCTTCTCATCAAGGTGGTTAACCATGTTCAATACAACGTCACTCTTCACTGGTATAAAACTTAAATTTCCCACTACTTTTAAATGGTTAGCATTTTATTACAAGTTAAGCGAATCCCGACTTTTTCGCTTGAAAAACTAAGCACGGAATCAGGCAGTTAAGGAGTGGATGGACTGATGGACCTGCCTATATCACACTGTCCAATTCAAACAGGGAAATCCTAAGTATACAACTTCACCATTACCGGCCAAAGAGGGACCTTGTTTTGGCATGCACACATATCTTGGCTAAGAGCTACCGTGTATGGATCTATTGTCATCCTCCCTAAACGGCATGCCTCTTATCCATTCCCCCAGCCCTTCAAAGAAGTTCCTATTGTATTCGGTAGTTTTGACTAGACAACTTTGTTATATCAGACACTGTAACAAGACTAAGTTTGCATCTTAGATCAACTGAGTTTTGCTTCGAATTGCAGGGGGGTGGTTGAAAGCAGACACCGAAACAATCATCAATCAGGCCCTGGCATCTGGAGGAGCACCAAATATCTCTGATGCCTTTACCATTAATGGTCTCCCCGGACCCTCTTACAATGGCTCAGCAAAAAGTACTACACTATGTAATATAATTCACTGTCTATATCAGAAATCAACATCGGAAAGGCTCCAATTCAAGACATAGACTAAAAACAAGTACATCGAATTTATGTAGACACATTCAAGCTTAAGGTGAAGCCTGGCAAAACCTATCTTCTTCGTCTGATCAATGCTGCACTCAACGATGAGCTCTTTTTCAGAATAGCTAACCACACACTCACTGTTGTGGAAGCGGACGCAGTCTACGTCAACCCGTTCAGGACAGATATTGTACTTATTTGGGGTCAAAATTATAAAAAAAAGGAAAACTACGGGGCCCTTGATTAAAACGAGGGAAAATACTTTAACGGCACCGCGCCATTCATGAGAACAGTTGTTTCACAACACCAACTCCCCCCCCCACACAAAAAAAGCTCCAATTTTTAGTTTCTTTTGAAAAAGGATCCACCTTGACATCCGCCAGGACCGGAGACGCCGTCGTTTTTTAACGCCGGCGCCTCCACCACTCGCCTCGTGCATTGTAGAGGAAAAATACTTAAAACCATGAACCGAGGCTTCATCTTTTGTTTGCCTGTCCATCGTCTTTGTTTATTTTTCTACGGTCTTTGTTTTCATTGAGAGGTGGTTCGGTCTAATGACCTCTCCTGGTATCATGAACGCCGTCGCTTTCACCGGCGTCGCCTTCATGTGTGTGCTAAATTAAGTCTTTGCAATCATCATGGATCCAGGTCGGGTCTCGTCTACTTTCTTGACAGACACTGAAGATTCCAGTTTGACTGTCCATGAGATCAATCGCAAGGTACGCTCAGAAAACACAGACGAATTCTTTGTTTTGCTGTCTCTGTTAAGGTTATTCTTGTTTCTTCTTGTAATATATTTTCTTAAGTCTTATGCTTTTCGTATAAATAAATAAATTCTTTCAATCTGGATTTGTTAGAAATGAATTGATTAATGTTGGGATTGTTATAACTTTGTGATTGTTGCATGCAATGATTCAAATGAGCTGATTTTGGAGTTGGAACAAATTTGCATGTGGGGAAAAATGATCATCTGGAGAGGGGGAATATGTTGATGGAGAAATAAGGTAGATTTAATTACCTAAATGAACATTTTAATTAGATTTTATCCATACTGTGTCAAAGATGCCAAAAACGAAAGATGAGCAAATTGCATGATCAAAACATTATAATCCATTGACGAGTGAATGAGATGACTTATTTGAAAAAATCTAGTCAAAATGTTGATGTTTTATTTGGGGAAAGGAAACAGATAAATTACGGCTCTGTATTCAAGGGTTTGTTTGATATATTCTGCATTGTAGAAAGCTCTGTTACCTAGAATTGGGTGGGAGTGACGGATATGTGTCCGAGATAAGAATGTTCAATATTTTTTTCTAAGTATTTATTTTACTTTGGCAG